GTGTTCGTGTTCGACTCAAAATTGACTCGTTAAAACTAAATTGAAAAAAATAGATGTAAAATGCTAGATTTGAATCCAAACCAAATGTATGAAAAAAAAGCACATAACCACGTTACCACACGAGCTGTTATGATTTAAACTTAGATAAAAATATATATAATATATTATTATATAAATAATATATGTAATATATTATTATATAAATAATTATATAACTTATTATTTTGAGATAAAAAGAGCGAGCCGAACACGAGCAAACAAAGAGTTGTTCGTGTTCGGCGGCTCATTTATAATTCGAGCTTTAAGAACTTGTTTGTGTTCAGCTCGTTTACTTAACGAACGAGTCAAACACGAGACGAACACGAGCTGTTCGCGAACAACGAGCATTTTTTACAGCTAAATGTATTATTTATGACTAAAAAAAGTATTGACTTATATTCTATCTCAACAAGAAACTATTATAGAAGTGGCATCACTCTTTGTAATGGCCAGAGAGTGGCCAATCATAAGCTCTCGTTTCATATAAGGTATACATCAAAGTGGTTTAGATTACATCAGACAGTGGCCAATCATAAGCTCTCGTTTCATATAAGGTAACCTTATATGAAACTTGCACTGTATCAAAATTAATCACCATCTTTCAATTAGGCTTGTAGAGCAATGATAACATGATAAACACATTTCATAATCTTGTCAGGGAGATGATCATTGCATTATTTGATGTGGAATGACTTAAGAGTGTGTCGTGATGATATTCATTTGATTGATAAACATGTCATGATGGTGAGGCACAAATGGGATTCATGATGGCTTGAATGTTGCAACAATCTCCTCATTGATTATCCAAAGGTATGTGTCAGATATCACCGCCCCTTTGGTTAAGAGTTGACCTAAACATTTCTAATTGGTCAGGCACAGACACATACATGTATGCTACTCAGCTGACTTCGATGATTCGATGATTTTTTATCGTAAATCATATCTTAAACTATATGACATTATATTTTAGAGGCACATTCATATGTATATCTTAAATTAGGTTTACTAACATTAGTCATACATAAAAAAATGGAAAATAGATGAGCCTTTATGAATTATCATAAGCATATTGATGCGAACATGAATTAAGCATGCAAATAGTCATACGTTACTATAGATCTTTAGTTTCTATATATTTTTACTTCAAGCTCCAACTGAGACTCAGACTCCAACCAATTATTATTTGAAAGCACTCGGTGATGGAATATTGATATATAAATACGGTGTAGTTAAATGAGTAATTGTGTTATGACTAATATTAATGATTTTAAATTTTTTCGTTTCATTACTTCTTAAAAGCAGCGGAGTTATTTCAACTATTACTTGAGAAATTCGATGACAGCCATCTTAACAACTATATATACATGTATATATTCAAGGTCTTATGTAGAAATGTTCGTCTAATAATGCCTATTTAATATAATCATCATAGTGAAGATAATATAGCAGAAAACCCTCCACATCAATCACATTGGATCATTTAATTTTTGTCAATATTGCACTATATATTTCTTTTAATCCGAATCAGTCAACTTTTTGCAGCACAAGTGAATCACTTGAAGCATGTGCATTTATATGCCGAAGTTCCACCACAACAACATATGTCATTTATACCATCACAATACCATTGTTAACAACTTCTTTAGATGAGTAGAGTAATGTTTTCAGTTGGATCACCCTATACAGAGCAATTTTAGGTTTCACTTCCAGTTCCATCTCAGCAATTATAATTCATGACACAAATCCATGACCACTTCCCTAATTCCCTTGTCCCTCCAAAATATTAGAAAAAAAAAATGAACGATGATTAGCAAATTTATAGCAATGAAATTACAACTAAGCATTTTGCATATAATGTCATGTCCATAATCAATTAATACTTAAAAAGGGCTTAAAACTAAACGTTGATATCAACATGCAAATGACATTCACCTAAACCAAATATAGCTCTAGTTATTAGAGATGTAAAAGAATCATTTAGAAAAAAAGAAGGAACCAGCAAGAAACATAGTGTAGAAACAGGGAAACAGAAAACAATTAGTCTTGAGCAACATACTAATGTGGAGCCCTCAACAGTCAGTCTCATGAGACTTAAAAGCAAGCCCTTTGACAGCATGCCTGCACTGATACCTACAATAAGAACCCAGATGTGAGCTCATGTACCATAACAAAGCGCCATTTATACCACAAATTCTAAAGATAATAAATTAAATTCAAACAAGCAAAAGAAAAATGTATGTTTTCTTTTGAATGGAAGTTCATCTGAATGCTGCCGCCCAATTTTTGTTCGAATAATAAATTACCAGATCATATCATTTGCAACCATATCTGCTAGCGAACTAGAATTAGTATTGCCGGAATTGTAATGCAAATCTTTCATGATTTGGTCACCCATCTTAGACTTAATATGCAACTTGAATGGCAGTACCTATAAAAGGTTTAAAGCACATGAACCGAATGAATAGTATTAAGCAGTTCCAGTTTCACAACAGATTGAAATCTGATACCTTTTTATTGCATCTGAAATCACGTTTGGGCAAGAAATGCAATGGTAAATTGAAGGTACAGGGACATTTAATCATCAAAAACAGCTTAGTTGGACCTAGAAAAATACTATTTGATGCTTTATTTATATTATTTTAGGAGATTTATGATGACTAGTTTAGTAGAAAACCTGAGATAGAACTTCCCGCATCATTAGACATCAATGCTCGAACAACCTGTTAAAAGAAAAACATGTATCAAGTTAAATATCTTATGACAAGATAAGCTCACAATTTAGGACACATTATTAGTTGCGGATAATGTATGTAGTTCCAAATTTCATAATGTGAGTACTCATTGCCTAATTTTTATTTATTTATGTATTTATTTTTTATTGTGAGCATGCAGTGAGCAAACAGCTATAGGGCTGTCAAAAATAGTTCTTCGTTCACGAATGACTGGTGTTCCACTCATTCAATAGCTTGTATTCGATTCATTTATTGAGCAGGCGAGCCCTATAGCTGTATTCGACACAAATAATTTTTGTACCTCTATTTATAAACGAGTCAAACATTAATAATTTTTTGTTCGATTGTGTTTTGCTCTTTTTAACATTAATTAATTAATAATTAATTAAAAATATTATTACATTAATTTTTATGTTCTATTAAAAATATTTAATTTTATTATTTTTAAAATAATTTGAGCTAATTTCAAATTGAACATAAATTAAAATTAACAAATGAATTCGAATCAAGCCGAACACGAACATGCTATTCACAAGCCATTTTGAACACAAACTTATTTCGAGCCAAGAAAATTTGAATGAGCCAAGCACGAACAAACACTCGGCTTGCTCAAACTTGGCTCATTTACACACCAACACAGATGTGCACTCCAACACCCTGCACCTAAATTGCTATGCACATAATAATTTCATGGACGCTAAAGATGTCAATGAGATGACCTTTCTTGAAAGAGCTTCTGCTACTTTGCTTTTGGTGATGTGATTCACATTGTCAGAATTAACTCCGAAATGAGAAAAGAAAATCTCGTAAACATGTTGGGGACGTGCAGGGCTTCCTCCAAGAAGGAAAGTAACCCCATGAAAATCAGGAATTCCATCAATGGCTTCCTGAAGAGCAGAAAATAAAGTAGATATGCTGCTCATCAACTTTTCCAGCTTTTTTATGCTTGATTTCACTTCATTTTTTCTCATATTAGCCTTTCTATGAAAGTAAATGTTCTTCTCCTTCCTTTCTACACCAGTACTGTGTAACAACTCCTATAAATGGGGTGGAGGAAAAAAACATATAAAGGTTAGATATTGTAAACCATAATGCGGTAATATGCTGACTGAATCGCATACCAATTGTTTATAATCTTCCTTTAGGCCATTAAATTCATGTTCAAGGTGCTGCAAAACCCTGAAAAAAGATAGCATCAATAATACCGTAAGCTTTTTATGATAGCAAAAAATCCCTTTTAAAATTTATCCAAAGGATTGAGCTCGTGAAAATTAACCATCTGATGAAGAAATATTTGTGATGCATGAAACCATTGATGAATATAAAAAAACAACCAGTCTAAGGAGAACATTTGAAATTCTCAGCAGGCATTAATCTAAGTTTAATAAGTACATAGAATTGACGCCATCACTCAATTCTTTCAATTTTATAGAAAAATTATAAATGAGACATACAAGCCAATCCAAGGTTATGCGCAACATATGATCTGGCATAAAATTAAAATGCATTGCAAGGAGTAAAATTACAGAAAAAAGGACTAGTCTTTACATGTCTAACACCTAAACTTTGGTTTTTCCAAAACTTGGTAGACTCTATCCACTCTTTCTTAAGAAAGGTTGTGGTCACATAGGGAAATACCTCAAGCCATAGTCTTGAGAGGAGCCAACAGATCCATATTGGATGTCATCATTATACTTACGCTTCAGGCAGGGCCATATGATCATTGAGGGTATTCCCAAGAAACATGTTTATGATTATTCGAACGCTCTCTCATCCCATAATGTTTTTTTTTAATATTTAAATATTTTTAATTTAAATTTATGGGGATTCATAAGTATAACAGATCCAAAGATAGATATCTTCTTCGGTTTTGTTCAGGCTCTTGAAGAGCCATCTATGCCTTTCTTTTGAGCTGATCTAAGGCAACAATGCTTTTGAGATTTAAACAACCGAGCACTGTGGGGCTGTATGGCGACGGATTTAAGGTGAAATTTAGGCAGGATTTAAGCGGAATCTTGCCCGACGATTATTTTGGACAAAATAAATCCTCTGATGCCGTAAATCAGGATTTCACGGATTCAACGTATATCACAGGTTTAGAAAATCCTATGAATCGGAGAATTTAACTTCACACACTTTGGATTTAAAGCTTAGCTCGATAACCGCTGCGACGCGGCTCAGTAACTGTCAAACAGTTTCACTGGATTTATTGAATTTATTAAATTTGTGTTAGGTAGTCGATAGTGAGCGTAAAATTTGTCGAAAAATCATGACATGAATCTTTTTGATGAAAATTTTATAAGATGGTGGTGAGAACTGCAATGCTCTATGGCAATAAATGTTAGCCTTTAAAAGAGAAGCATAAAACTAACTTATGTGTTGCCGAGATGAGGATTCTTAGGTGGATGAGAGACTTTACACTTGGAACACGTGGAGACAAAATGCGAAATGAATATATCCATGATAGGGTTGTTGTAGCTCCAGTGACGATAAAATTAGAGAGAGCAGTCTTAGATGGTTTGACCACATTAAACGTCGACCATCTGATGATCCAATTAGGAGAGTAAATGTTTTAGATTAAACTTATGTTAAGAAAGACAAACTTGGACCTAGAAAACTTGGGCATATAAAAATGATCTTAATTTATTAGAATCAAATGAAAATATGACACTCAATAGGACGCAATGGAGAAAAAGGATTCAAAAGGATTCATGTAGCCTTACCCCACTTAGTGGGACAAAGGTTTGTTGTTGTTGTTGTATTAAATGTGTTGCTAGACAGTTTTCCAGATTTAACCCAGTCATTTAGTAAATCCCGTAAATTTGGGTTTTCGGGATTTACTAATTCCTGATAATTTAAATCTCATCTGACGCTATACAACACTGCAAGTCTTTCACAGCAAAATAAACTTTCTAGTATGTGATATGGATGATAGCAAGAACTAAATCACAATCAATCTAGTATTGAGGGGCTTATAGCACAATAAAAGATTCCTGAATAATACAGTAAAAATAGCATATTAGAATTTGTTTGTCTACTCAGGTTTTCAATTC